ATATAAAGGGGGTTCTTCTCCGGTTTCCATCGTTTTGCCATTTCGATCTTTTGTCCAGAGTACGCCTTTCTTGATCTTTCGCCGGAGTTCTTGTCTCTTCTGCCATCGTCGACTGCCCTTTCTCTCAAAATCACAGAGCCAGCAAACCCTTTGTTGATTCCTGGACTTTCTGGTGGGAGTCGTTTTAAAGTTTTTCCTGAAAAACTCCATTTTTGACGTTCGGGTGAGTTTTCACAACCTTCTTCTTTTATCGTCTTCCTAGCCTTTTTGTTTTCCGATTGAACTGGGGTGTCATCCGGTCGACACGTCTTGATTTAAACCCTCGGGGAACTTCCTCGGGTTTTCGAGAGTAAATAAATTTTCCTTCCTTTTCTTTTAGAGATGCCTCGTCGTCGCCCTGCTCCCGAGAATCCACCGGCTGGTCCCTCGGGGTCAAGGAAATACGAGGTGAAAGGCGAGGAGTAGATCGATAGGTTTAGGGCCAAGTACGGCATTCCTTTGTGTGTAGACGTAGTGGANAGATTGTAAATAATCTAAAAATATGTAAAACTAAAAAAAATAATAAACTCAAACCATTAAATCACTTTTTTAAGAGATTAACGTCCAGCTGGAGTTGTGTCATTGTTGATTGCTGGAACTGCGCTGTTGTGCTATAGATGGTCGTTATAGCAAACAAAATAAGTTTGCTAAAAAATGAGGATAATGTTGGCCTACTCATTGAAGCAATAATACAAACACTTGGTGTTTCGGTGACTGTAGTGGATTTCGTTAACAATGTGTGCATGTGGGAAAGGGGAGGTGTTTGTTGACTAGGGAGGTTTTGGTGGCAATTGTGGGGTCTGGGGAGGAAAGGGGGTGGAGGTGCTGGTTGGTTGCAGGTAAGAGTTTGACTTTGGATATATAAGGTGTTTGGTGGGTTGTTTATGAGTTTCAGTGATAGAGGGGAGAGGGAAGGAAGGGGTGGTTATGGTAAGGGAAAACATACGCAGAGAGAGAAAAAGAGAGAGAAAGGGGGAGGGATACCTGGGTGAGACTTCAAGATTGTCGATGGTTGATCACTGTGTCTCCGATGGTGCCTCCATAGTGTTGTTGTGAAGAGAGAGAGTTTCGGTGAGAAGAGAAAAAGAGAAAGAGAAATGGGCACCAGTGGCTACAGGGGTGGCTCAAGCCAATTTGAGGTATAAAGCAGAAATATTAAATGAAGGTCTTTTTATTTTTAGTATTATTTTTTAAAAAAATAATTAATTTATTGTTGAGAAAGAGATTTCAACTTTTATTTTTGTTTTTTACCACAAAGAAGGAAAGAGAGTGTTTAATATTGTCAAGAAAGAAATTTTAACTTTTATTTTTGTTTTTTACCACAGAGAAGGAGAGAAAGTATTTAATTTCAACTTTTGTTTTTATTTTTTTATTTTTTTTACTAGATGGAGAGAGAAAAAGAAAGAGAGTGTGAGTGTGTGCGTGAGAGTAAATATGAGTTGACTTTTTAGTATTTTTTATTTTTTAAATTTCTAAGTTTTTAATGTTATGGATTTGATTATAGGCCCAAATTATTATAATAAAAATTTTGATTGAATTTAATTTTTTGGAGTTTTTTTATAGGACTTAAAATTTAATGGATTTAATTTTTTTTGTGGGCTAGTGATGTACCTAAAATTATGGGACCTTCTATAAATTTGGCACCTAAAGCCCATTTTTTTTCCAATTGTTGGGCCGGCCCTGAGTGGCTATTTGTTGGGGGCAAAGATCGAGAGAAGGAACAAAGAAAGAATAAGAGAGAGGCGGAAGAGAAAAGGGATATCAAAAATAATGGGGTGAAAAGATTGAGATGGATGCAGATCATAAAGGAAAGCGGAGTAAATAATATAATATCATCATTATATTGAATATTCTGAAGTTGTGATGTGTAAAAGTGATTTCTCAGATATGGAAAGGATATTATTTAAAGCAGCATGAGCGTGGGTCAAAATTTAAATATGGATGTTAATTTTAGATTTGGACAGAATTTTAGATTTATATGACATTGATTTTGGGCGAGATTGAGATGTGAATTCAATGTGGGGGTGTCAATTTTGAAAACTAAAAATTTTAAGTAGCAAAATATTTCAAAAGAGGTAATATGGTATGTCAGATCAAAATGATCTGAGATGTCAATACCTTCAAACTGTTTGGGATAACACCGTCTGTTGGATGATGATGACTTTTTTTTTTGTTACGAAATGATTTGGGCTGCTCTTTATCTCTAAAATTCAAAATCGTTCTACTTTATTATATAAATAGATATAAATTAGAGTTATGTCATATCTTGACATGTTCTACCATTGGTGTCCAGTCGTATCTTGTCTAACTAATCTCAGTGTTATAAATGTTTTCCTATTTTATTAGTGTTCAATCATGTGAGGCCTTTTATTAGTGTCAAGTTATGTTATAACTATTCTTAGAGTTAAATCATATCCGATCTTTAATAATGTCTATTGATATCAATGATGATCATAAATTTTAAACTGTGCCTAGATAGCTCATCAATCCTGACAAGTAAAACAAGAACTAAAATGCCAAGAGGCACGTCACATAGGCATTCCAAACAAACCAACGACGGTTCCTTCTCAAACAACCAACATCGAAGTTCATCTACATGCCACCAAGGTCCAATTTCTTTATCACACAACCAACATCAAAGTTTGAACCATCATAAAATTCATCGTCAAATAGTCTTTCTTATGGAATATGGATCCTATACAAATTACGTTTTTGTAACATAATATGGACAAAAGCGTGACTTCCTTAATAATGCTATTGACATGAATTATTGGTTCCAAAGGAACATTCAGCATGACTTCATTAATGAGCCCATCAACCCTCAAAGTATGATTGTATGATAAAACTTTGAGATTGAAGTATAATGCTATTGACATGAATTATTGGTTCCAAAGGAACATTCAGCATGACTTCATTAATGAGCCCATCAACCCTCAAAGTATGATTGTATGATAAAACTTTGAGATTAAGTATAATGCTATTGACATGAATTATTGGTTCCAAAGGAACATTCAGCATGATTTCATTAATGAGCCCTTCAACCCTCATAATGTAAGTTGTATGATAAACGGTATGAGCTTGAAGTATACTACTATTGACATGGATTATCGGTCCCAAAGGAACGTTCAGCTAATGTATTCCATCCATGGATCTCAATCAACCATAACGAGATCACATCAAGGCTTCCAAGTGAAAAAGATCAGATGCAACGACAACTAGATCATTTTCATGCAATCAAATATGTAAAGATGGAGTATTTAGATCCTGACAATNTCCCAAAGGAACGTTCAGCTAATGTATTCCATCCATGGATCTCAATCAACCATAACGAGATCACGTCAAGGCTTCCAAGTGAAAAAGATCAGACGCAACGACAATTAGATCATTTTCATGCAATCAAATATGTAAAGATGGAGTATTTAGATCCTGACAATAATATTATTGAAATTATAAAAGATCCATTCTTGGTTTCTCACCCTAAACTTTTCAATTTTACTAATTCAGGTGACAATGACTACCAAAAATATCTCCTCGGTAGTTTATGCATATTTGGCAACCCCTTATAAGCATGGTCTTCATTAATCAAAGTGGATCCTTATCCAAGGTCATGTAATAATTTTTACTTTTCAAGCAAAACTAGCTTCATGTGCAGAAAATTGAAAACTAAAAGCTTTTCCCGGTTTTGATCACCAATGCCCATAAAGTTATAGGAATAAACAAAAGCATTACCGAAATTTGGGTTGAGATCAGAACTTTCTTTTTTTGCCACAACTGGACAATAAAGGCATTTCATTGGTCTAAGGGTCAAAAATCGCCATTGATGCACTGGATATTACGAAATGACACGTTAAACATCCTCGCGGCTAAATAAAGTTGTAAAGTTTTAGGAACAAATGGTGTGCAAATAGCATTCCTGAATCTCTGTCTACGATATAACCTAGCTTTCTTTGCAAAACATGAGAACTTAATTTCATTAAATTCGAAAATAAAAATCAAGAGATGTCAGGGTTTTGAGGGTCTAAAATGTCTAGTTACGCCAGGAAATCACTTCAACACCATTCTTGTCAACAAAATACAGTTGGCAGAAAGAAAGAGGCTGCCAAACTCGTTTTCGATTCATAGGTTGAGACGGGATAAAAAGTAAATTAGACATGATCATATAAACGTTAGTCTAACTGACATTTTAGGGCTAAAAACGCCTTAGAAAATAAGTTTCAAACATGCTCTTTTGGAAATTAAGTTCACCCAACACGGGTAGGACGTAAAGCTCCACCAGCAGAGATGGCTCCAGCCCATCTCAACCCTGCTGTGCAATGGAATTTTATCATTTTTTGACTAGTATATATGCATTTATGCGGTAAAATAATATTGGAATCTGAAGGAAAATGTAAGTGAGACAAAAACAGGATGTTGCGAAAGTAGGCATCCATTGTTTTAGGCTCTTTATGGTCCTTTTTGCTGCAATTGTGAAATAAAATTTTATGCTCAATGTACTCATAATCTATCATTCAAATGCAGACCCATTGTGAAATGCAAAGGGATGACCAATATCTGAGTTGTGCTAAATCGAACCTTTCACAAACATAAACAATGAGCTATGCTTTTGAAAATACTAGGGTACAGACAGCTCTCTTTTCCTAGAACTTATACCATNAGCTTTGCCAACCAAAACCTTTCACAAACATAAACAATGAGCTATGCTTTTGAAAATACTAGGGTACAGACAGCTCTCTTTTCCTAGAACTTATACCATGGGTGTTGGGAGGGAGAAGGAAGAGTCAGGCAACATCACTTCAAAGATACTTAACAGAGAGGGAAGTAGGACTAGTGGATGACACTTACCGTCAAACCAAGAGTTTAGCAATTTCACCAGGATTGTCATGTTGACATGAGCTTTTAGTTGGTGGTAAGCTGTAACATAATGTACAAAGAATGATGAATAGTAAGGTAGAAGGTAATTGCTCACCTGCTGCACTTTATTCTGGAAAGATACAACACACATAGTTTGGTTATGCTAAATAATAAGTAATTACTCTGAAAAACAATCCTAATTTGTTTCATCTCCTGTGTGTTCTGTTTCCCCATTTCCATTAGCATCATTCCATGGCTTTGATTGAACTTTTTCCACAGCTAACTCCACATCTCCTTCAATGCTTCTGTCGTTCACCTCTTCTAAGTGCTTATGGGTATAAAACCAAGCACATATAACATAATACATGAGATTTACCAGTTGCACTATACTGACAAGCCAGTAGTAATTTTCCAATCTTCCCTTGTTGAGGTTCCTATTAGGTATCCAATTGCTTTCTTTACCCGAGTATTTGTGAACTAATGATACCAAAAATGTACCCATATAGTTTCCCATTGATATTGCCACCCAGTAGAGTGCAGCAGCAATGCTTCTCATACTTTCTGGTGATTGATCATAAAGGAATTCCATATGCCCGACAGACATAAAAACTTCGGCTACCCCATGGAGGCAAAATTGAGGAACCAACCAAAAGACACTTATGGGTATAGTCGTGGTTGGTCTGCCCAGTAAGTTGTGATTTGCAGCCACTTCTTTCCGCTTGATCTCAACTAGTGCTGCAGCAATGGTAGCTAAAATGTTCACTGCAAAGCCTATTCCCATTCTTTGTAGGCATGTGATGCCCACAGGATTTCGTGTGAACCGGCGAGCAAAAGGGACAAAAAAGCGTTCGTATATAACAAGACCAATTAAGACAGTAACGACCCCAAAGATGGACATACTAGCCGGAGGTATTTCGAAGGAGTGAGACATGTGACGATCCATGCTGCGAGCTTGTTGTATGACAAAGCTGTGTTGATGCGAATATGCGGTGTATAGTAATATTGCAGCTGCTGAGATGGGCAACACCCTTATAATGGACTTTAATTCCTCAACCCGATGAACAGTGGCTAGCCTCCATAAATTTGGTGGGGTTGAATCTTGTTTATCCTTATCGGTTACTATTGCAGCTCGATCAAGCCACCTTCAAACATCAACAGCAGTTCAAGCAATCAGATACGAAGTCCTCAACACAACGTAAGTTAATCATGTTAGATGCTCTGCAAAAATTTTGGATGAGTTGAGGTGCAACTATGGGGAAAATGACTTCCAATTGAGCTCATAAAAAATGTTTAACAACTTTCAATAACTTTAGAAGAATTCCATCTAAAATTAGATGCTCAAAAAATACATTACAAGGGCCACTTCTTTCTCCTTCTAAAGAAGATTATTTAACAATGCTATTGCAAGCTATTCTAGCGAGCAATAGCAATAAAAGTCTTCACCACGTATGGTTGAAGTAGAACATAACCTGGTACTTGGAATTCATACTAATTTTTGCATTATTTGCAAAATCATCACAATATTTTTAAATGTACGTATTATGTAACATATCTTACTTGAACTGATCTGTGTGTAGAAGCCTTCCCTGGGATGAAATAGAAGCATCTAGCTCTTCATTCTCGTACAGGAGATCAGAGTCTGCTGGTGCGACTAATTTTCTCTTCCTCACTGCTGCGACAATTACCTGAGCCACTCTAACTAGTGGACTCCCTCCTGGTTTTAGTTTTTTATAAAGAGAAGAGCCACCGAGAAAAGCTGTAACAGATATCAACATGGCAACAGTGGGAATTCCATAGCCCCAAACCCAACCCACGTTGTCTTGGATATAAACAACAACAGTTAGAGCAGTTAGGGTGGCAATTGCCATGCAGAAATAGTACCAATTGAACAAATTCCAAGTGCGAGCCTCTACTTTTGATTTGGACATGTCAAACTGGTCAGCAGCAAATGTAATGACACAAGGTCGAACGCCGCCTGTCCCAAGGGTTGTAAGAATAAGAGAAATGTAAAGGGGCCATAATTGCAGGGATGAGGCTTCCTTGCAGTTTAGTTGAGTTGGGCATGGTGGCGGGCGGAGCTGTGGCAGGACTGCTGATACGACAATGCTCACTAACCCCTGTTAAACCGATATTNGGCGGGCGGAGCTGTGGCAGGACTGCTGATACGACAATGCTCACTAACCCCTGTTAAACCGATATTTACACATGATAGTACTTAATCAAGAGTTCTGGATAGAAACAAAATAAATTTGATTCTTAATTTTCTTATAGTCTTCTGTTATATGCCATTTACAATTTTCACAAATATGGAAATTTTTGCATGAAAAATATGTCAGTAACAGTGGAGGAAGTAGGAACAACAATCAAGGTCAACCCTGTATNTTTTTATATAATATTAAAATCGATGCCTGTTTTTTCCATTTCTAATTTACCTTCAACCCCATTCTAGTTTGTGGATACCAAACAAATATTTGACCATAAACTTAATTTAGCATCATTAGCATTTTCTGTCACTCGACTGGCCTTCCCCCATGGAGGAGATATAGTATTTGTCCAAAGATTTCTCTGATGTACGTAAACTGTATGTCATGCTTCCTAAGCATGACATACAGTTTAACTAGAGTTGGAGTGGTAGCTTAGAAATTTCTTACAGATGAATCAATTCATCCATATATGTGGCCTTGAGGATNGTTTAACTAGAGTTGGAGTGGTAGCTTAGAAATTTCTTACAGATGAATCAATTCATCCATATATGTGGCCTTGAGGATTTGTTCATTTCACTCCTTTTAACGCAAAACACACTCACACACACACACGAAAAGAGAGAGAGAGAGACCAGTTCATAAATGATGGAACCGACAACAATGGTCCAAAATCGGCCTGCAAAAGAGTCGGCAATCAGTGCACCGATCAGTGGCGTCAAACTGGCAGTGCCAGCAAAGTTGGTAAGAGTATTGGAAGCCTTCACCAGTGGCATGTTGAGCTCTTGGGTCAGGTATGATATCATGTTGGCATGAGAGCCGGTGGTTGCAAATCTGTCACACATCTCGTTTGCTGTAAAACGTAAATAACCATATTATTAAATTCATTAGCTTCAATTAATCCATTGATGCACACTTCATAGATAATAGCATACTTTTTTTCCGAAAAGGAAAGTGAATTTCATCATTTGGGCAAACTTTCTTGACATTTTTTAATAACATTTATGTCTGTCAAATATTTTTTTTGTAAAGTTTGGCTTGAAAAGGACAAGAGTAATTCTCTTCTTGGCTATAAGATTGAAAGAGAAGGAACCTTGACAAACAATACTTCCATAAGCACATGAAACACAAGCTTGAAAAAATATTGATTAATGTGCTTGAGAGATATGATTACATCGTCGCTAANAAACAATACTTCCATAAGCACATGAAACACAAGCTTGAAAAAATATTGATTAATGTGTTTGAGAGATATGATTACATCGTCGCTACAATTGAAGAAGTGAAAGATCTTACTATTTTGTCTGTACAAGAATTGATTGGTTCATTGCTTGCACATGAACAAAGAAAGATACGACATGCTGATAAATCCACTGAAAGTGTTTTTCAGTCAAAACTAACTATGACAGGGGATGAGAAGGCTTTTCTAAATATGGATAATTCTATCAACTCACACGTAAAGATGGGAAACGACGCTCTGGTGCAAGCCAGAGGAAAATGTGCAATTGTTATTGACACTAAGGAAGGGACGAGATCTATCTTGTAAAAAATAGATATGAGATCTATTTTGAAAGAGATTCTTACAAGATTTATGATAAAAATAAAAAGAATTAACTGATTTCAAATGTCAAAATGAAAAGAAATGGAAGCTTTGCAATTGAATTCAAGTATGCAGGAGATCTTACCCTGAAAACTGAAATCAAAGAAACTAGCAGGCTATGGCACAAGAGGTTTTGTCACCTGAACTTCAATGGCTTGAAGTTATTGTATCAGAAAAATATGGTTCAACTATTGTTAGAAATTAAAGGGAAAGTCGATGTATGTGAAGGATATGTGCTTTGAAAAAATAACACAGAGCACCTGTTTCAAAAGGAATTGTACGTTGAGAGCAAAAACACCTTTAGAGTTAATACACTAACTTATGTAGGCGCATGCAAACTAACTCCCTCAGTATATATTTCCTCATATTTATTGATAACTATTCAAGAATGACATAGGTGTATTAATCAGAAGTGTTTTCGGTGTTCAAGAACTTCAAAGCTTTTGTTGTAAAGCAAAGTGACTACAACATCAAAGCTATCAAAAGCGACCAAGGTAGATAATATATCTCTAATGGATTTGAAAAATTCTACAAAGGTGAAGACATATGGAAGGAAGAACAGAACAATAGTCAAAATGGCGAGATCAATGCTTCTAGAGAAAAATATGCCTACCAATTTTTAGGCAGAAATTATTCACACTACGGAATACATCCTCAAAAGACCAAATCAGTTAGAAACAAAACTCCATTTGAATCTTGAAGTAGGTTTAAACAATCGGTGAGTCATTTAAAAAATTTTGAAAACATTTGCTATGTTCATGTTCAGGATCAGAAAAGGCACAAACTCGAAAAGAAAAGTGAAAGATGTAGTCTTTTTATTATTCTAACGAGTCCAAAGCTTACAAACTGTAAAACTCTGACACTAAAAATTTAGTTATCAATAGAGATGTAATGGTCAATGAAAAAACATGTCAAAATTGGGAAGAAAATAAAGTGCAGACAAGTCCCTTGATATTCGAGGAACAACATCAGTAGAACAATACTCCTGCAATATCAAGAGAAAGAAGTGAAGACTCAACCCCACTATAATCACCAAGGAGTAGGAACGACTTCTTCATTAGAAACTATCCTTGCCAAGTAACAGAAGCAGTTCTTCATCAGATCCATCCACAGTAGATTCTCCTCCAAAAAAGACCAGAAGTCTAAAAGAGATCTATGAGTTAATGCAATTTCACCGTAGTTGGACCAGAAAATTTTGAAGAAGCAGCGAAACAAGAAGTCTAGATGAAAGTAATGCACAAAGAAATAAAAATGATCGAGAAAAATCAGACATGGGATTTGGTGGAACGTCCTCAAGACAGAGACATCATCGGAGTGAAATGGATTTTCAAGACAAAACTCCATCTAGATGAAACTATACAGAAACACAAGGCAAGACTTGTGGCAAATGCAAGATTGGAAACTATTCATGTATTAATTATATTGGCTGCCCAAAAGAAATGGTTTCTTTATCAACTTGATGTCAAATATGTTTTTCTCAATGGAGTATTAAGTGAAGAAATATATGTGGAGCAACCACAAGAATTCATTGTTAAAGCCTTGTACGAACTTAAGCAAGGACCTCAGGCATGATACAAACCAGATTGATAACTACTTCAATAGACATGGGTTTCACAAAAGTAAAGGTGAAACAACTTTATTTATTAAGACACGAGGTACATCAGATATTTTGATTGTCTCTTTATATATTCATGATTTAGTGTTCATAGATAGCCACAAAGAGATGATTCTAGAATTCAAAACTGAGATGATGAAGACTTATGAGATGAATGATCTAGAAGATACATCAAGGAGATGAAGGAATTTGTATATCTCGCAGAAAATATGTTGAAAATTTGCTCAAAAAATTTCGAATTNTGAAGACTTATGAGATGAATGATCTAGAAGATACATCAAGGAGATGAAGGAATTTGTCTATCTCGCAGAAAATATGTTGAAAATTTGCTCAAAAAATTTCGAATGTTTGGACGCAAATCAATGTATACTCCTTTTATAAGTTACTGAAAATTTGATAAAGAAAGATAGAGTTATGAGGATTAATCATTCGACGTATAGGAGCTTAATTGGAAGTCTCTAATATCTCAGAGCTACAAGACCAGATATCATATTTTCTACAAATCTTTTATCCTGGTTTATATAGAGTCCAAGTCAAATTCACTCTGGAACAATAAAGAGAATTTTACGATATATACAAGGAAAACTTGATTACGGATTCTATATAAAGCAATTGAAGACCAAAAGCTTCGATAATCCCATGAACAAAGTAAAATCGGATGCCAATATGCTTGGTTCTTGTATGATGAACTAGGTGTTTATCCAAGTGAATGACGTTCTAATTGCAAGAAATTTTCTGTAGTTGCCCATACTTTTAAAATAGAGGATGCCAGTGAAAATCTATACTACTAAAAAAGGGAGAAAAACAGCTTTGGTGTCCACTCCTAAAATGTCTATAATACCTTTAATTTATTCCCAAATAACTACTTATAACTTCATCTTTAACCCCACTTAACCACGTCCATTCATGAAATATTACTATTGTTCTTCATTTCCTTCTAAATAACTATCCAACTACCTATTCAACTACATAATTTTTGCTTCATATGGGCAACTGTGCGTGCAGAGCATCTAGACAAAAAGAAAGTACGGTTGAATATAAAATCGGAAATAATTGAATAACTCCTGTATTATAGTCACGTTCTATATATACAAATAAATTCAACAAAATTAAGGTACTTGCTTTTAGAGAAAATTGGGACTAAGTCTTATTTAGGGTACTTTTAATGAGTTTAGTCTGTCGGTCAAACTTATTTAGGAATAAGTCATTTTTTATTCTTACTAATAAGTAGTTAAATTCACAATTTTTTAATAACTTCAAAATACCCTTCCTTGAAAGTAGCATTAAATTAATTTTATATCTTAGAAATTGTTACCTTTTAATTCAATGTCAATGGAGATATGTCAATAAAATTTATATTATAATTTGAAATTCAAATTCAAAGAACTTAGTTGGGCTACTCTCTCTCTCTCGACGAACGACCAACGAAAAGAGGAAGAAAATTAAGAAACATTCTTCGAAAAACTAATGTCAAATGCATTTCTCATCCATGGTAACNTCCAAATTTTTCTCGTTTCTATTATACGGAAGCATAGAAAATAATAGACCGAAACTCACATCCATACAACTTTTTTGACAAATAATATAACCAAAAGATTCTATGAACTAAATGAATACTTAACAACTAGCGTGATGTGAGGGGCTCCGAATATCGCTGGTTCAAGATGAAACCATTTAATGAAGACACGTGGTATGCAACACGTGTCAAATGTTAGAGCGGACCGTTCGGTGACCAAAAGTGCCTTTGGTCGAGCCAAAAAATGGCTCCAAAGGAGCTTTTAGTGTCAACCGACTTAAAATAGAAATCACTCTTATACTCCCTTTAATACGATGAAAAAATAGAACGATAAAAAATTAGAAAGATAAATGAAACATTATATTTTGATAAAGAAAAAAATATATGAAGAATAGAAAAATTGATGAATTAACTTTTTTTCTAACTCATCCAAATCAATTCCTCTAAAATCGANCTTAACAACTAGCGTGATGTGAGGGGCTCCGAATATCGCTGGTTCAAGATGAAACCAGTTAATGAAGACACGTGGTATGCAACACGTGTCAAATGTTAGAGCGGACCGTTCGGTGACCAAAAGTGCCTTTGGTCGAGCCAAAAAATGGCTCCAAAGGAGCTTTTAGTGTCAACCGACTTAAAATAGAAATCACTCTTATACTCCCTTTAATACGATGAAAAAATAGAACGATAAAAAATTAGAAAGATAAATGAAACATTATATTTTGATAAAGAAAAAAATATATGAAGAATAGAAAAATTGATGAATTAACTTTTTTTCTAACTCATCCAAATCAATTCCTCTAAAATCGAAAGAAAAATGGATGAAAAATTAATTATTTGTGTCGAGATGTATTTTATTTGTCTATATATCTTTTTTATATATACATATATTATGTATACATTAATTTCATATAAAAATAAAATAATAAAATATGTATTTACATATATATTTTTTAAAAAAATTTTAAAAATAAATTTTAAATTAAATTAAAAAATTAAAAAAATATTTAAATTAAAAAAATATTTTTCCATCTTAATTAGGGGTGAAAATTTTCNTGCTTAAATCCGAGCAACACTGTTCCAACAACCCGAGGACACGTGTCTTTATCATAGAGCTTTTTCAGAA